GCGGAGGGCGGAGGGGAGGCCAGGCCGGCCTGCACGCCCCAGGCCCAGACGCCGCGGGGCACCCGGCTGGGCGCTGGGGCTTCCCAGGAGACAACTGTTCGGGCGAAGTGACCCTCTGTGAGACAGTTACCCGATTTAAGTAAAATGTCCGCTTCGGGAAAAGTCATTCAGGGCAGAGAAGTTTGCCCAAGTAGGGAGAAAGGGAGCCGGGCAGCGAGCGCCTCCCGCCTCGCCTCGGGAGAAGTTGCCCCAGTTGGGGGAAGTGATACGGAGGAGGGGAGCGCGATGCCCGCCCTGGCGCCGCCCTAGCCAGGGTCTGTCAACCCTCGGTCGGGGCCCGGGCAGAGGCCGCGCAGGGAGCGGAGGCAGCGGCTGCCGCGGCGGGCAGAGCGCGAAGGCCCGGCCCGGCGCGGGGAGGGCGTTATATCGGGGCAGGAGGCTGAGGCAGGAAGCAGGTGGGGGGGAGGGGGGAGCCACGCAGTTCCCAGGGGAGGGAGGGGGCAGCGCCCCGGGCGGGCACTGCGCACAGCCGGCTGCGGCCCTGACCCGGGCCTGCGCCCCACCCGCGTCCCGGCCTCGGCCTGGGCCCTACACGCGCGGGCCGGGCGCCTCCCTCCGCGGCTCCCCCGGCCCCTTCTTCCCCGGAACTCCGCCACCCCAAACTTGGGGAAAAGTTTTCCAACTGCAGACAAGGCGGGAGGAGCGCGCCGGCCCCAGACCCCGGCTCGCAGCTCTTCCACGCGGCCCCCAATTCCGGCGGCAGATCCCGGGGCCGAGCCCCGAGTCCCCTGCCCGCGGCTCGCTCGCCCGCCCGACCCGGTTCCCCTCCTGGCCAGCGGGGCTCCGGGCCCGTTACCTGCGGCCCCGGCGGGCCGGGATCCCCTCCCCGCGGCGATGGCAGCTCCTAGCCGGTGCCCCACCCGCCGCTGCCAGGCCCCGAGCTGTGCCAGGGCAGCGCCCCTGCCAGCCCCGCCCGCCAGCTCCCCTTCCCTTCCCCTCGCCTCTGCAGCCCATGTGCGGGCAGAGCCGGCCCCGGGCCGCTGACCCCGCCGTGAACCCGGAGCGGAGCGGTGGCCCGGCGATCCCGAGTCCGACAGGGACGCCACCCGGAGCCCTGAGCGCTAGCCGCCAGCCCGCGATGGGGCGCCCGCGCCAGAGGATGCGCCCGAGGCGGCCGACGCGCGAGGACCGGGCTGTCCCGGGCCCCCAGTCCCTCCCGGTCCCCGGCTCGAGGACCCACCTGGGGGGCATGTCGAAAGCCCCGGGCCCGGCTGCCGGCGGATCCAGGGGGGACGTGGCTGCTCTGCCCTCCGCCCGCCGGGCCCCCGGTCGGTCTGTCCTGCTGGTCCGTCCTCCCCGCGTCCTGGTCGCGTCTCAGCCCCGCCGCGCTTTCCGCACACTCTTATCTGGAGCGGCCCGGGCCGGCGAGCGCTGCTGCGGCTATGGCGCCACCTCGCGGGCGCACGGGGCTCTGCGGGCCAGGCCACGGCCTTCCTCCCGCGCACCTGGGCTGGAGGCGGACAGATGCTGAGCGACCGGGAGGGACCCACCCCGCCCACCGCGCCCCAGCCGCAGGCACGCCCTCCCACACGTGCCCACCTGGCATCCCGACCCCGGACACGTGAGCCTCGGAAACGCTGGGCTTTGAGCTGAGCGCTCCCATGTACGTATTTGTATATACACAGCCCCAGTTCGGAAAAGCCCTGCCCGCAAGGACAAGACTCTGGTGGGAGGGGAGAGGTCATCCTAAGCAGGAGTAGCCAGGCTCTCCGGGAACTCTCCGAGGACGTTACCGTACGGTACTGTCCATTTGGACGCACGGCCCAACACACCCACCCTCACTCAGGCGCACGGACTCGGCGTGCGCGGCATGAACCGGCTTGTCCCAGCCCTCTCCAAGCACTGTCACTCCAGGCATGTTTCCAGACCCACACCTGCCCCTCCCCGGAGCCCTGGCGCTCTGGATACTCCTGGGGCAGCCACGTAGGGCCCTCTGGGAACATGGGCAGAGGTGTTACCCACACAGCCCGCCCTGAACTTGCGGGTCTCCTAAAGGAGTCCACAACGAGCCATCACGGCGACTGGAAAATGGCTGGAAAGCGCCTGTGGTGGGGGAGCGCAGAAGTAACCCCGGGGCCCTAAAATCCCGACCTACGCCGTTGTGTAGAATCCCGCATGGACTTTTCCTCCAACCCACCCGCCCGAAGGAAACGACAGGTGTGCCTGCGGCTGGGATCCCGCAAGGTCCCGCGCCCCACGTGAAGGTCAGGTGTGTAGGTGACGCGTCTTCTAGGAAGAAGGGGACCCCGCACTAGTGCGCGGCTGCCGGCACTACTATCCGGAAGTGGCCCCGTGCGGCCTCGCAGCGCACCCAGCCTCTTGCGAACGCCGGATCTCCGCGGCCCACGCTCCGCCTCCGCCCCACACCTCCTGACCCCCGCCCACACGCGGCGTGGAGCGGGGGGGGGGGCTCCCCGAGAACTCTGACGCTTCCGATTGGCTGCGCCTCCCTCTGCCGTGGAGCGCTAGGGGCTGGGACGCAGCGTTTCCATGGCAACCGATGAGGTGCGCCCGGCTCCAGTCCCTCCGAGGCCTTGGAGAGCTTAGCAACCGCGCTCGCCGCCCCCCGCGCTGTCCTCTGGCCCCCACAGCCCCGCCAGAGGTACCGGCTGAGTCACCGGGCGAGGGGCAGCCGGCGCGACGTAGCGCTCCCCGAGCGACACAGCCGGCGGCCTCTCCCCCCACAGGCTCAGCATCTGTGCGCCTCCAGCCCAGGCCTCGGGCGCCCCCCGGAGGCTCCAGTTGCTGCGCCGGCGACCACACGGCCTCGGTGCCCAGCGGAGGCTTCGGTCCTTACAAGTCCGCCTGATTGCCGCCGCCCGAGTCCGCCCCTCTCTCTGCTTCCCCCCGGGGTTCTGGATCCATCTTACCCACGCCCTCTCCAGTGTCTCCCCATAGCATCCTCACTGGAGAATGAGTGAGGAAAACGGAGGCCTCCGGAGCTGATGGTCTCTAGGGCAGACGAATCCCCCCCGACATCTGGCCGAGGGACGTGCTGCGGCCTGAGATGGAAGTTACAGAGTGTTGAGGAGAGGTGGAGAGGCTCCTTAGAAGTGCTCCTAGAGCTGGGCTCTGACGGATGAATACGAGTTCTCCCACTGAGCAGGAAGGCATTTGTAAATAATGGAACCCCTGGGACAAAGGCTAGCGGCCAGAAAAAGGGAGCTCGAGGAGGCCAAATCCCAGAGCATGCAGGGCCTCTGACCCCATCTCCTTTTATCTTTTCTCCTTTTGATACAGTCAGATGCCCCCCTTCCAAAGAGCCCCTTCGCCCCATGTGTCTTGTGCAGTGGAGTCTGTGCATTGCTGACCTGCCCCAGGGGTCTGCTGGGTCCACAGTCTTTATTCTTCAGCGTTTCCCCTCATCCGCTCCCCAAGTTAACTTACTGCCCTTACCCCTCCCACCCGATTCTCAAGCCCTCATTGCATTGGTGAGGGAGGATCTCACAGCCCTGCCCCAGCCCAGGCAGTGTGAGGGCCTCCTTGCCCTCCCATGGACTTCACTCTTCCCCCTTCTCTCCCTGCCCTGCTTTTCCGGCCGTGCCCTGCGCAGCCCCTCCCCATGCTGGCCCAGCTCCTCGTATGAACGCCCTTCCCCCCCCCCCCCCCCCCCCCCCCCCCCCCCCCCCCCCCCCCCCC